TGCGTGCTTTAGGTAGGTCATCAACAGCTTCTGTTGTGGTCAGCGAACAAGAGTTATGCCTCATCAATAAACCTTTATTTTTGTCAGGTATTTTGCCATAGGTAGTTAAATAGCATTTCTTGATGGCTTCTGGTTTGAGGCTAGAACACTACACTTCATAGCATTTAATTACTTTATTTGCTGTATTCTAAATTGCTTGATCTATTGTGATTCTTCCAAAAAGGCTTAGAGATCCAATCTGAATTGTTGGAGAGCTAGCTGGCAAGTGCATCATTTGCACATAGTTCACCTTGCAATATGGATAAGTCCAAGGACGGATAATGTAAATGAAATTCAGATGTAGCTTTTCTAGGTACCCATATTAATTTCGCACAATGTCCCCTGTATCAGTATCAGAAATTCAAACTGCTGCTAGTTTCCAATAACCATCAGCTGTTACATGAGGCATACTGTCAAATAGATACACCATTTGTAGGATGCCGTCCTTTAGAAGTACACACTGAAATGCAATTGGCAAAAATGATAAAAAATTATGAGACAGTTAAATGCCCCTTCCAGACATACAAAATGCTCAAAAATTCAGTAGCAACACATAAATAAAAAAGCTCTAATAAAACTGGTATTCTGGCAACCAAATTTCATTTTGGAAAAGCTACCATACAAATAAAGCCGACTCAGATTTTGCCTCCTGATGGTATCAATCACGACCCTAAGGCTCTGACTATATGTTTTGCTTCCACTTGTTGACAGCTCTTTGCTATTCTCAACTCTGTTCACAAACAGCAGCAAGTTCCAAACATGGGTTACTATCATTATTATTCTTTTATATGAAAAGACTTATTATCTTATGAAAACTTACTATAATGCCTGCATAATAGCATGTTTATCCAAGTACTGAAGTCATGATACAGTTTTTAGTAAATTCTTACTTAAGCAAAACTCAAGTTTATTTAATCAGGAACAATTTTTATTTGCTATAGGTGTCAAAGTACAGTATGTTGTCTGTATTATAGATTTTTACCCATTAAAATTGTACAAAGATAATTTTTTTCTTAAAAACTGTAAAATAGTAAAAGTGACTTTGCAAATATATAAAGAAAGCAGATGATAAAATTAGTGAGTAAGCAAAAAGAAAGAGCTATCAAGGCAAATAAAGGCTATGAAAAGTTGCAATGTTTTATACCATTAGTTGTACTCACTTTTCCCTCATCTCTTGGGCTGTCACTTAAATGTACCACTGGTCCAGGGTGAGTCTTTGTGGATCTGCAAGACAAAAATAAATTCAAATCTGTGAATGTTTTTTGTATGAAGAGCTAGATGCTTACCTTAATTTCTAGGTGTGTTAACGTGTACCTCCAATGGTTTAAAAGTCATTCTAAAAAGCCCAGCAGCAGAAGATAACTATCTGAAAGTCATTCATATCTTTTCACGTTCTCCTCTATTTCCCTTTTGCTGTTACATGCAAAGATTCTCCTTTGTTGATGAATCCTTTCTTCTATTTTTTAAAATCTCACTACTCCTCCTATTACAGTATTTTTTTTTCCTCTCATTTCTAAGGCATTTTTGCCTTTTCTGTTGTTGACTCCCTCTCTTTCTGCCCTCCCTCCTTACTTGCTCGATTTCAAGGCTAATCTGCCAAGGATTTGCAAAGTCTTCACTGGATTCATTTCAATTACTGATAACAAGCCTCACCAAGTTCCAATCTCATTAATGACAGGGCTTCAGTAATCTCACCTACACTGCTCTATCAGGTAGCTTCTTAGCATTACTGCCGCGGGGTTTCAGAAATGGAGCATCTTGCCTGTGTCTATTCTGTAAAGCCTTATGACATCTTCAGACCAGCTAATACAGGGGTTCATGAAAGGCAGGTCCTGCTTGACCAACCTGATCTCCTTCTATGACCAGGTGACCCACCTAGTGGATGAGGGAAAGGCTGTGGATGTGGTCTACCTGGACTTCAGTAAGGCCTTTGACACCGTCTCCCACAGCATTCTCCTAGAGGAGCTGGCGGTTAACGGCTTAGACAGGGGTACTCTGAGCTGGGTAAAAAATTGGCTGGACGGCCGGGCCCAGAGAGTTGTGGTGAATGGAGTTCAATCCAGTTGGCGGCCGGTCACGAGCGGTGTTCCCCAGGGCTCAGTATTTGGGCCAGTTCTGTTCAATATCTTTATCAATGATCTGGATGAGGGGAACAACTGCACCCTCAGTAAGTTTGCAGATGACACCAAGTTGGGCGGCAGTGTTGATCTGCTCGAGGGTAGGAAGGCTCTGCAGAGGGACCTGGACAGGCTGGAATGAGGGGCCAAGGCCAACTGTATGAGATTCAACAAAGCCAAGTGCCGGGTCCTG